ATGTTGAAACTTCAAATCTCAACCAATAAATATCTCCAAATTAATAATTAAGCCTTCTACCAATTCCCTATGGACATTGATCGAATTTATTTATTTGAGGTTTTAAGATCCAAATTTAGGTATTTTTGAGCCTCGAAACCCCAATCTGTCATTACTTGTTCAAAAGGTTCAATATAACGCTCATTGACCCCAAAAGCCCCCATACCCCTCGACCAAAACACTTCAATATGTTGGTAATTGATCAAGCCTGCAAAGACCTCAATTAATTGGTTCAAAAGGTCCATAAATATTTGCTATTTCGATAAAAAGAAATTTACAAAGAATGAAACAAAATAAAACAAAATCATACTTGATAGATTGGAAAATAAATGAGTAGATGCTGGAGTAGATTTAAGACCTCAGATGTCCACTTGAGGCTTTGAGAAAGCTCCCTAAAGAGAGAGAGAGTTAACTCACAAAATGCAATGGGCACTCTTGCTTTTTAAGGGGCTGCAAGCAGCTGTTCGGTACTGAAAATGCCAGACACCGCGGGTGGCCTGACACTACCTGACAATTGTTTTTCTTAAGGAAAAAGTTGCCTCCTGTCTAGTGTTTTTAATACCGGACAAGAGGGCACCTCCGTAAAAGAAAAAAAGCGTCGCTAGGGGAAGGGGTGATCCTCATAATTTTTGGGAAAAATGACATCAAATGGTAATATACGGTCAAAAAGGTGTCAATATGTAAAAAGCTCTATCTTTTAAATTGTCGTGGTGCTTTTTTGAGACCTGTCTAGTACAAATCTCGATTCTACTCATAAATATAGGACCTCCAAACCTTTGGTGTTAGTTCTCAGGGGATCTTAGTAACAGGGAGTTTGATAGTGTCTGTCATCGTTTTGGGTACGTTGAGTTAGTTTTCCATTCTGCCAGGGTTGAAATTGTTTTTTGTGGATTTTGATTCCTGTAAATGCCATTTAGGGTCTAAATATCAAGAACATGATCATCGTGCAGCTATTTACTAAGCTTTAGCCTTTCACAACTTCTGGGATCTACTTTGCAAGCTCCAGAATCATTGAAGCTCAACTTTTATGGCAGCTTCTGCATGAATTCCAGGTTAGCTGGGATTCGTGGTATTTTTAGAGGTAATTTGGGAATTCAAGGAGGATTTTACTTGGGATCAGTTTGGATTTGTGAGTTGGCCTTAGTTTAAGAGACCTTCCTTTTTGTTTTCATGCTCACATTAGCTTTGGGGAATCATGTAATGTAACTAGATGGGCTAGGAGAGTCGTCTGCTCTACTTGGATACCTGGAGTCCCATTCGATCTACCCATAAGAAAGGTTATCAATCAGGCACCCGCTTTATTTTGTACCATTGTTAAACATGCCAAACCTTGAACCAGTAGAATGGTTGGTCTAGTTCAAACTGGTTTGACTGGTGATTTGTAAAGATAACTGAAATCTCGCTGTGCCTTGATCTTACTGTAAGATGACTGGTCAGAAGAACTCGAGACTATGGTACTCCCTGACGCTGACTATGGGATTACCCTCTGCACTCTGCAAGCTTAACTGAATACTTTGGACTTTGCATGATTAAAACACCCTGTACAAACTGCCAGTATGATATAGCATACTTGGGTATATTTTACATGTACTATTTGGACTATCCAATATTAAAATTGAATATATATGAAATTTGCTTTTACGTATCTATCTAACTGAGGATTTGTATATATCTGTTCAAATGTGATCTTATCGCGAATTCATGTGACTATAAATATATTTTCCTTCATAATGAAAAGATAGAACTTCTTTTTAGAAGGGAAGTGGTTACCCATTCTGTGTTCTTTTAATGCATGAAGATGCAAGAAAGGTCAACACACAACAGAGAAACCAATAACAAAGGCAGCCCCAAGCCCAAACAAGCCAATCCCTCTCCCATCTTCAAAAATCGATAACAGCAATGTGAATACAACTTGTTCAAGATGCCGTAATGGCTACTACTGCTCTGATCATGGTACTTTTGCATTAAATGTAGCCTACTATCTCCATTGTCTTTTGTCTTATTATTATTATTATTATTTTATTTTCTGTTAATTGTTCTCTATAATAGACTATTTGTTGAAATTACCAGGTTCTCAAAGTAAACTGTATTCCAATCGTCCGACGCCCTCACCAGTGGTGAAAGCTGAGGTGGAATCTAAAGAGTCGCCTCTTACCGAAAGTAAAGAGGTGCAATCAAAAGAGGCTTCTCCTGCCCCTACCAAGGCTATTGACATTAATCAGATTAAGACATGCAGAAACAAAGGTTGTGGAAAGAGCTTTAGGGAAAAAGATAACCATGAAACAGCCTGCGAGTACCATCCAGGCCCTGCAATTTTCCATGACAGGATCAAAGGGGTAGGCCTTATTTTTCTCCCTGGATTTTGTTCTTTATTTTCAAGGGTTTCTTGTGATACACTGCTTGGCCAATTGTGATGATTGTTTACTGATTTTATATGCGGCAATTTTTGCAGTGGAAATGCTGTGATGTTCATTTGAAGGAATTCGATGAGTTCATGGCCATACCCCCTTGCCAGAAGGGGTGGCACAATGCCAATCCAGACGCTTAAAATATCAATATTGGTGAAAGATACAAATAAACTGTAAGTTCTTGGAAGAATGATAGTATTACTGACTTTTTCTTTTTTATGAGAATCATCTTTGATGCTTGTGTCTAATTAATCCAAGTATGAATACTTCATTAGTGAAACTTAACTGCAAAATAGGAAAAAAATGCAGAAAAGAAAAACTGTAATGAAGTTTTCTGGTTCTAATAGTTTTTTGGAATCTGACAGGCCATGACTTCAAGAACATTGCAGTCCTTTTCTTCAAAGCAGGTAGCTAATATATATCTTCAACGTTTTGGAAGAACTAATTTTGGAGTTTCAAAATGCGCCCCTACCTCTTTTTGTCCAAACAAACCCCATTTCTATTGATTTGCTATAAAGTATTATCGTCTGCAATGCTATATAAGAATCGATTTATTTCATAACAGGATGCTTTTTATGGAAAATTCTGGCTCAACTGATTCCCGGTATAGATTGTGTCCACACTAGGCCCTTTAGCTAATGGAAGTGTTTTCTGATTGCCCAAGTTTCTGCATATGGATAGGCATGTTTCTGAGAGTGAATAAGAACCAGACCAGACAGTTAACAAATTACAAGGCCAGACCTACGGTCTATACTTGGCAGTCTGGTGCTACTTAATTAAGAGCAGCATACTGCTACAGGGTTTTGACTGGTTTTAAGCCAAAAAAATGGGGGCTATCCAAGACAAAGACAGCAAGCCTCCCCAAAGGTGGTTAGGTGAACCGAGCCGTCTCGTCTTTCGTGCACTTATTGAAGGCGGCAAATAGGGCTGGGGGTTTGGCCCGGCCCTAAAATGTTGGGCCTGAGCCAGTGCCAGCCCGGGCTTGGACTGACCCTATGGGGACAAGAGCGCCAAGGCTGGCCCAGCCATGTCTGTTGCTACCCTTAGGTGCAAAGAGGCCGATTTGTACTTGGTGATTTCAATTGATTTTTGAGTTGCATGAAAAAGCTAAATATGTTGAAGCCTCTTTTTCTGTCCAATTGGACGAGTATAGCTTAGTTATTAAAGGGAAAATTTTGTGGTCTCAGTGAATACTAGATTACAAATTTATTTATTTTTTTGAAGTCTCCACTTCAGAAACATCTTTTAAAAATAGAAGTGATTGGGATCTCCAATAATGCTCTTAATCTATTGCAATCCCCCCAAACAGAGATTTGGACCATGCATTTCAATGGGTTGAACTTAAAGAGTTGGGAGCTCTTTTAGAGCTCAAAAGCCAATCTTAAATCTTTTATTGGAGAAGGTATTCCAAAAACAAAATATCCACAACAAAGAATTAAGGAAAGAGCATGAAAAACCCCTCCAAACCTATTGCCACCAAAAACTTGAAATCTTAACCGGACAAGCAAAATCCACCAAAAAAAGAAGAAATTGCATGGAGCTCCAAACACTCCAAACCTATTGTCACCTGAAAGTTCGATGAGAAAAACAACTTGAGGGATTTTATTGGCTGAAAATTTTCAAATCATCTTTGATTTAACTGAGATCAATTTGAGAATGTACGTACAAAAGATGCATCTTTGATTTACCTAGTCACCAATCTAAAAATGTATATCTAAAGGATTTTGAGCTCTTAGAACCCCAGTCATCTACCGAATGGATAATTCTGATTATAGGGGTGGCGATGGACCCTGACCCGAGCTAGGACCTAAAGGGTAGACCGACTTGGGTCCGAGTATAGGTCCAAAAATTGGACCCGGCGGGTTGGGTCCAGGTCCAAATCTTGGACCCAAACACTATTCAGGTAGGGTTCTCGATGCAGGTGGGGGTCCCATATTGTATTTTTTAGGTCCCAATTTATGAAATACATTTAATATATAGATATTTTGATTTTTGGGTCGGGTTCGGGTTTGGGTTTGGGTCCAACATTATATTTTAGGGTTTGGGTCTAGGTTCGGTCGGTCTAGGTCCAAGTTTGGGTCTCAATTTTTTTTCTGATCCGTGTTCAGGTCTGGCCAGACGCGACCTAACACGTTGCCACCCCTAACAATTCGAGGTAAATTTCATTAGAGGAAATTGATTTAGACCATATCTGGATTCAATTAAAAATAGGGTGTGCTTTGCTAAGATTGCAACCTTTAACAGTGAAAATAAGGTCCACCTCCAAACTTTTGTTATAAATGTAATTTTGGTGCCAAAAATTCAGGATGATTTAAGAACTTATTTTCATCTCTAGTTATAAAATTTTAAACTCCAAAAATGATTTAAATAAATTAAATCTATAAATGGATGAAAATCTTGAAACAGGACGGTCCAGATAATGTGTCATAAGATACACTATTTTTGGGAATTGAGATTTTTTTTCTTTTCATATTCAAACATTTTGATGTTGAGATGATCAATCAGACGGTTTTACAACGTCAAAATAGCCTTCTCTGGATTTTTGAGACGCACCTTAATTCAGCAATTAAGGTGTCAACCTTTTATAAAATTTTTCCTTAGAAAATAATTTGCAAGTTTTCAGTACAATAAATATGCTAGTGTTTGGGCTGTGAGACCATATCTATTCATCCCTCAGGACCACGAAATATTTTCTCAGAAATCTCGTCCTATAGCAACTAATAAATTCTTAAACAATATTTTTAAAATTAATAAAAATTAGGGTAATTAATGTAAAAATCCAATGTTATGTTTGAAATTAAGAAGTTATTACAATATTTTTATATTTTCTGTTAGGATCCCTTTTTTGTCAAGTTTTTAAGTTTTGCCCAAAATGCCTTTGGCTTGGTTCTTGAAGTATCAACTGCATCCAAATTTGTTTGGAAAAATGAGTCTAGCCTTTAAGTGAAGATTGACTTCTATATGACTAACCTTTTAGTCACCCTCCCCTTCAAGTGCTTCATTAACCTCTTGCAAGTTTCTTGCCATAGTCGGTCTCTCTCTCTCTAATACTTGAAATGTCAGTCTGAGGTTATTATAGAAAAATTTGTCTTAAGTATTCACATCTTTAGTTGACTTCTCACAAAAAAAAAACAATCCACTACTTTTGAGTTTCATATCAAGGGGCATTTCGGGTAGAATAAAAAACTTTAAAGAAAGATGGACAACGTAAAATATGAACAAATTGTATCATTTTTCTAACTCCAAAACTAAAATAGGATTTTTACTATGCCAGAGTACCTTGATTAAGTCGATTTTTTTTAATATTGTCAAACTTTTTTCCTTGTAATTACCACAACTACCCGCGATCAATTTTTTTTTGTGGTCATTGACCACCGTGGCTACTAAAATTATAAGATGAGTGCCCTATGGTGCTTTAAGATCATCCCAGCTGTCTAAAGTCTATTCTGGATGGCTGGGATGTATCGTCAATCCGCCTGTAGTCTTCAGGAAAAACATTAGGGGGATATTAACCGGAGGAACACAATGTAAACCTTGCTCACATATGATGGGTTGATGTGACATGGTTTTCGGAAATTTTAGTGCTCTCATTTAACCACTTGAAGAATCTTCTTTACTGTCTCTGACGCTTACGGTTATAATGATAATGTTGTATTTTGGTCCGTTCGTGTTCGGAGAAGATGGCTTGTTAGACATCATAGCATCAGGTAACCCATAACAATGGAACCATGGAAAAGATTCAAAATTCTTTGAAATTTTTTCTGGTTTTTAAGACAAATCAATGGAAGAAAAAAGATACCATGTAAGGGGGTTTTCCTAATCATCTGAACAAATGGTGATGATTGGTTTTCTGGATTCCGACAATCGAACAGATCCGTATTAGATCGCAAAAAGTGCTTGGAAGTTTTTCTTGACATCAACTATGCCTAAAGCTTCATGGACTACTCTTGACGGAATTCCAGCTTGGAGGCTTTACTGATGCAGAGAGAATCAGATAAAGACTACTACAGCATTTGGATAATCCCATTCTTCTATTTGTGATTCATTCCTCTTTCTTTCTTTTTGACAAAACCAGTCGACGAATCTCTCATTCTTTCCTCTGCAACTTAGTCTAATATCAAATCTCTCATTCCTTTTTTTGGCATTGATTCATTCTATTTCCTGCTCTCTTGCAATCCTTTCACCACCTTCTCCATTCATGGAGAAAGTGGTCGATGGAAATCACAAACTCCCCACATGGCACACATTCTGATTTATGTATGGCAATGATTCGGCGAAAATGCCACACAACCAGTGGTAATTGAGGAGCTTACAAGACGTCGGATGCTTTCCATCCATAAAATTCGTGCACAGAAAATGACCATTGAAGAGCTTCTCGTGTAATTTGTAGAAGGCCCTACTAGAGGATACCAGTCATTTGAAAATCTCTTTCTACCCCAAATTATAAAATTTGAAGATCCTACCGATCAAGTAAAAATCTATAAACACCTGAAAATATTAAAAATTAATAGTTAATTTAAGAGTCGGAATTTTTATTTATTTATTTTCATATCTATATACCTTGAGGTCTGATCAATTGAAAACCTTTTCAATGTTAGAACAACCTTTTTCAATGGGTTTTTAAAATGCCCCTCTCTTATAAAGTTGGTACCTTATGCAAACTTTTTCGTTAAATAAATAAAACGTCCACTCTACGTTGTATATCATTGAAACATTGATGTTCAGTGCTATTATTTTGGCAGATATGATGGTTTAAATACGTATCCGATTGTCATACCATACTTCTTTATAGCATGCTTTAAAAGTTCTACCCTCTGCCTATATTTAATGGTGGCAATGGGTCGGGTCGGGCAGGGCTGAACCCAAATCCAAAACCAAATAGTATTTGGGTCTAGGTTTTGAATCCGGACCAACTCGTCGGATCCAAAAATGGGAACCATACTTGTACCCTTCTAGTCCCGGGTCTATTCTATTGGGTCCAAAAGTTAGACCCATACCTATACCCATCGGGTCCCGGGTCTATTCCGTCCAGTCACGAGTCTAGTTGAGTCTTTTGCCACTCTCACTATGAGCTGCTGCTTTTCTTCTTCTTTTTTTGTCCTTTCACCATCATATACCCATATTATTAAGAATAAGATCACAATCACCCACAATTAGATTTCAAATCATCTAATTTGTCGTGTAATAATTAAAGATGACTACGTATTCTTGCTGTATAAAATCCTTAATACACCCAAACGAATAAGACTTGAACTATTTTATCTCTTAATTTACAGATATGGGTCGGGGCCACCCGGACCCACATAGTATTCGAGTTCAAGTTTTGGACCCAAACCCGACCCACCAGATCCAAATGTAAGACCCATACCCTACAGGTTCTGAGTCAAGTCTGGGTCCATTGCCACCCCTAGATGTTCAGTATCCTCTTGCTCTATTGTTTTCCAAGCACTGTAGACCGTAGCCTACATTCTACAAACCATGGATTTAGATAAGCATGTGACCAATTTAAACATTGGCCATTTCATCCAATATCAGCAACAACAGCCGATATTCCAATGGTCGCTTTGGCCAATATAACAACAACGATTTATCAGTCATTGTTATGGTTGAGCCCACTTAGAGAATTTGGATACAATACCATTTACAACCAACTTGTTTGAAAACAACACAAAGCATGGGCATGCACCTATCAAAAGTTCCTTCAAAGAAGAGCATCAATCAAATTAATTTCATCCAAGTAACATACTAGAGTTTTTCAATAAGTCAAAACGGATCCAGACTCACTGCAAAAACATAACAAGCGTGGGCGATGCCCATCTGCTATTTATACATTTCTTCAATCGCAGCAATTTCCTTTTTCTAGATTCAGGGTGGGAAAATCATTCTCTAATAGCATGCTTTCCTTACAGAGTAACATAAATCAAACCTCCCCCACCCCGCTCTCTCCTTTCCAATTGAAAAGACAATAAGGGACAAAAACAACTACAAAGATGCCAACAAAACAAGGAAAACCATTGAAAATAAAAGGCCATCTTAAAAAGGAACCCACCAACCCATCTGTTCTTTTGAAGCCAGGGCCCCCATTTGGAAATAGATAAAGAGAGACAAAAACTTGGAGAGCTGTATATGCTTCAACTAACAAGATCATGAGGTGTACTCGAAGGGTTGAGGAGGTTGAGGTTCTTCGTCAACAGCCATGGCTGAGGCAGAGGCAGAAGCCTGCTGAGCCCCACCAGCAGAGGCCACAGATGAAGGGGAATCAGTGAGGGCGAGCACCTCCGGTTCAGAGGGTCGGGTATCTCTGAGGAGAACAAAACCTGAAGGAGCTAACTTGACTGGCACATACCTGCTCTCCTCCAAGAATTTTATGTACTTTTCTTGGGCAGGGACAACACGAGCTGGGTTTGTAAGGATTTCAAAGGATGCCTCTGCTTCTGCCTTCTTCTCAGGAGCACTATCCACCTGAAACAACCCATAATATGTTAATAATACACACAAGCTTATACTTGAAGAAAGAAATAGAGTTTATGAAAAGAGTCAAAAGGATATAATGACTGCGGAGTCCCTGACAAACATGCAGAAATATTTATATTAACAAAATTCATTAGTTCTGTAATAAGTTGATACAGCCTCATTTTTAAGTAGACCTATTACGGCAGTTTTGCTAATGGTGAAAGGCAAATATCAGCATCTCTTTGGAAGAAAACAAAACATAGGTTCAAATATTGGTACTGTGGTGTATGCAGTTCGCGGAAGACATAGTTTTGATTGATGAGACCCATAGCAGCATCAACATAAAGTTATAACTTAAGAAGGATGCTCTAAAATCTAAAGATTTTTAAATTAGGTAGACTAAAACAGCATATGGAATACAAATTTAGCAATTGCAGCAGTAGAGACGAGGAAGTAGTTAAGATTGATGGCCCAAAAATACCAAAAAGAACGCACTTCGATATTTTGGGCTAAGCAGTTAAGATTGATGGCCAAAAAATACCAAAAAGAACGCACTTCGATATCTTGGGCCAATAATCCAAAAAAACAGAGAAATTAAGGACGATGTCGATAACATAAAATTAGAGCTGGGTAGACGAGGAGGAGATGTACAGCCATAGTTTTATGTGATCGCCACATTTACAAATGAAGCTAAAAGAGAAGTTCTATAGACTATAGGACAGCTGTGAGACCAGCTTTGCTTTATAGGCCGAAAATGAGGCGGTCAAAAAACAACATATAGCTATAGGATGAATGAAGCTAACATGAGGATGTTGAGATAGATGAGTGGCAAGACAAGAAGAGATAGAATTCAAAATGAATATATTCAGAAGAACTTAGGTGTGGTCCTAATACGTGATAAGATGAGAGAAAGTAGACTTAGGTAGGCTAGCCATGTGCAGCGCAAACCCAGTAAGGCAACTGTTTGGAGGTGGAAGGCTCAAAAATGGCAAAAGATAAGCCCAAAAGAACATAATTGGAAGTAGTAATAAAAGATATGACAACTTATAGTCTCACTGAAGGTATGGCCATTGATAGAGCAAAATGACAGATCAAGATTCGTGTAGCTGACTCCAAAAATTTGAGAAAAGCTCTAATGATGATAATGATGATTTACTTGTATTTCATCCTTTCCTTTCCATTTTAATTTTCGATAACTCATGTTCAATGCATCATGGAAAATGTCAATGAATATGAAACCCTGAAGTACCTAAAGAAAATCCAAGCGTTCATTTTTACCCCCTTTTCACTTTTAATTTCAGTTCATGTTATTTCACCAATTCATAAAATAATTTCGTGGGGTGGGAGGAGAACATTACAGCAATTTTCCATGATTTGAATAAGCAACAGTTGCTTGAAATCAATTATGTTCCTCACCTGCACGGAGTCACCATCCTTCTCAAGGGATTTACTACTCTTTCCCGAGCTTGAACCAGTATTTGACGAAGACCCATCTTCCCCTGATGGTTTCTCCAAGCTAGCCTTCTGATCTGCCTCTTTCTTGGCCCTGGCTTTAGCCTTTGCGGATGTTGACAAAACAGCAGTCGGCAACTTGACAGTCGATGTAGTGGTTGGTGCGGTTGTAGGGCGTGGATACTCAAAAAGCGAAGGCTTGGCATGCGACAAGAACTCGAATCTGGGGACCTTGATGTCATAGTTGAGCCCAATGAAGGCAGTTGGGGAGAAAGCCAGGCTGATGAAGTAAATAAGAGGATACCAATACCAAAACTGGCTAAAAACAGCAAGCCCAATGACAGCCGTGACTTTATCGTGCTTGTTCTTAGAAAGCAGCTTGATGGTCACATTCCTGCCCCCAGCATCGATAATCCCAGATGCAAGAATTGCCCCCATCTTGCTCATTGTATCCTCATGCTTATCAAGGATTATTTTCTCCAGCTGTCTCCTGCAAATGACTCAGAGGCACAAGCAAATGAGTAGGCAAGATGAACCACAGAAGTAGGAGAGAGGTAAGCAACCCAGCCCACAAGAAACCCCTTTAAATACTCTAAATCCTATGGATGATGTAAAAACCATTGCTTTTAGGTTCAGTTGGGTCCATTCAGATGATAGACACTGATGGTAAGAGAGCGAGACCAACACAAACTCAGATGGCAGGTCCCACATTTCTCTAAATCACCATCCATCATTTCAAAGAACCGTGATGAACCTAAGGACAATGGCTTCTTGATAGCCCCCAGAACATAGCATACTTCCACTAGGAACTAGGCAGGCAAAACCAAAAATAGGCAAACCTAAAAGTGCCGACACGAGGGTCTTGAGACTCATTGATCTGAACCATAACCATTGCCATTGCAATTAAGGCACCCTGGCGAACAAAATCAACAACATCCGAGGTGAGAGGCTCAAGCAAAGAGATTGCCTCACTTAGCCCAGTGCCTGCACAAGAGATGCCCACAGCGAGGGCTGCACCATACCGGACATGAGGGTTGTAGGACTCAGAGAGAAGGGAAACAATCCTGGGAGTCTACAACAATGGAAACACAAAAACTGGTTAAGCATCATTCAACATCTTCTTATGTGAAACAGAAAACTGTATCATAGCTTTAAACACGTTATGAATATAGCCACAAATCTCATTCTCAAGTTTTCAAGAATGTAATTGCTTTGGGAAGAATCTAAAACATTTGGTTTCACTCAGGAAAGTCTTTGGCATATCTACAGAAAAGAAGGCAAGTACAAAAGTTCAGGAGATTCTAAACATAGAAAAGCTAGATTTAAAATCAAGTTTCCGTGAAATATATTTCTTATCTAATAAAATAAATAATAAAATATTTTTCTGGTAATCTGATATTAACATTTGAAAACTACTCCCTCTTTTTCTTCTTTTTTCCCCAATTTGCAAGAGAAGTAAGAAAGGGGTAGATAAATGTCATGATATAGAGATAATTTCCTTTTGAAAAACTGGAGATATTCTTCATTTTCAAAAATTCAATCTCATATTATGGAGATATTTGCCACTATGGTTGCTTTCTTTCCAAGAACAAAATGGCCATGACATGAGTAGAAATTCTCAAGATAAAATGGAATAAAACTGAAGAAAGAAATAGAAAAACGAGTAAACGAGAACCTGTAGAAATCAAAAGTAAAAGAACCAACCTGCTCAGGTTCAGAGTACAGAACAAATCCAAGTGCAAGGACAGCAGTCCTCCGCACATCATCACTCACATCCGACACAGCAAAGTGGAGCAGCTGACGGATAGCCTTGTTATTGGCAGTTCCACTATACGCCAAAGCTAAGGCATACATACCACCATAACGCAATATTGGGTCTTGATCCCGTGTCAATTGTTCGATCAAAGTGTCAGCCTCTTCCTCCCTTCCATATACCGTAAGGGCAATGCCAAGTGCTAGCCCCCTAAACAGTTGTTAAAAGAATAGATTAAGGGGAACTATTCATAGCAAAAGGTAAGAGAAACAAATAATAGGAAGAGAACTATTTTAATTTAAATATTCAACTAACCTGATGATCTTCTCATGTTGGGTGTCATGCGCATAAGTAAGCATCTCACTAGCCTTCTCACTGGCTGTCCCAACCAAGAGCAAACCCATACTTATACCCGCAGCTTCACCAGCCACAGCACTATCAGTATAAAGTGCATGCTTAACGTCCTCATAGATCTCCTCATCTGCTGTCCCAAGGGCTGCCAAACCGAGGCCTAAACATGCACCATGCTGAATGACCTGAACGACAAAGTATTTGGCCATCAGAGTCAAGACAATGAGTTCATTAAGGATATGCAACCACAGAGATTGCATGTGCCAGATGTTCAGCCTCTGCAAAAGAAAATCCTCACCTCAACTGTGGTGTTCCTCAGGCTATCACGGAGGAATTGCTTAATGCCTTCTCCATGGTTGGCATGAATTAGACCCAAAGCATAAAGGGCACCACCTTCTGAATATGGGCTCCCACCACCAGCTGCACCACTTTGTGGTAGGTAAGGAGCCATTAGAGATCTACCTTGTTGGAGGTGACCACTGTGAATGACACCAAGCCCTGCTGTAGCGCTGAACTTCGCCCAGTTAGTAGCACGACTGAGCCAGTCCTGCAAAAGATTCAGATAAAAGCTAAACACGTTTGAACTTGCAATGCATAATTTCCAAATTTGCAGTGCAAATAAGTGACTCAATAAATAGGAAAGGAGAAGGTGAAGGAAAACGAGAAAAATTTATTCACCAGATTTTCTCTAAGGAATGTATCTACAGTTGTTCCTGCATGCATTATTGCATTTGCATAGATAGTGGCACTGTGACAAACACTGTTTCTCATCTCAACTGACTGCTTTATTGTTTTCAGGATTAGAAGATCCGACCTGCATACAAATTAAGGTTAGGAAAATAAGATTAAATTATGATTCACCAGAGTTCAAAAAGGAACAAAATGTCAAAAAGTTCAATTCTCATGATTTATCACCTGTTGTGACTATACAAGAACTGTAACGTCAACTGTATGGATGTTTCACCAGATAAAATTCCTTTTAGTTTGGCCAACTTCTCAGAATAAGTAACATCCCTCGAGTCCATCTCATGTGTGCTACCATTAACAGCAACAGTTTCTTCCTTCATCTGAACATCTCCACCTGCTTCTGCATCACCATTTTGAGTAACCCCTGATCCACTGGCTCCATTCTCAGATGTTTGCTCCGTATTCATACGATTTGAAGTTTGTGGTTTAGGATCAGGGAGACGATCTCTAACACTCAAGAGAAAGGCTTGGTGTTCATTCTCAACTAGATCAAAAGCGATCTGAAAGGCTAGCAGAGCATCATCCTGCATGATATAAGCATCATAGGAACATCAAATCAAATAAATTTCAGGTTTTCAAAAGTGAAATCAGCCTCAAAATTTTGCTGCACAACAAAGCAGAGCAATTACCTTATTGCTTGACTTTAGGAGTTTCTCCAATATGCTAACCACACCTTCTGGTTCATCCAGAAACATTAGACATTGACAAATGCTTAAGTTATCTGGAGAAGGCAATCTTTGATATATTTTGACAAGTAGACGAAGAACCTGCATTCCCCACATAGAGAATAAACTCATATATCCGCAGTTGTTAAAATCACTATGAATGGTTTCAAGAACTTCCATCAAAAAGGCTACATTTTACCATCCAAAAATCACATTCGTCATTACATGCAGGCAAGAGTACAAAATAGAGCTCAAGTGAAAGCAATATTAACCAGTAAAAGGGTCTAGATTTCAGACATGAATATCAAATATTGCAGCATAAACATTCAAGAAAGGAACTTTCAATCATAAGTAATAAATAGCTAAGATACGTAAATCTCACATTACTTGGAATTTGAAAACATATATGCAAACTATAGAGTCAGAACACATACAGCTCATACTAGCCAAACAGAACTCGATTGTGGTTGTTGATTTTGATTGAAATTTCAAGGGATTCATAAAATGCTCCATCAAATCAGCAGACAAAAATAATCATATGACTTAAATGGGTCAAAGAAAACATGTACAGAACATATACAGCTCATCTTCGACAAACAAAACTTGATTGTGGTTTCTTGATTGAATTTTCAATGGATTCATTAAATGCTCATCATTAGCAGTTCAAACAAACATGACTTAAATGGCCACATCAATCATGTTTAGAGAAAAACCATTTCTTTTATAGCAAAAGGATCTACCTTTTTCTTATGGAAAAAGATTTTATAAGGTTGCAATCTTAAAATGTAGAATTACAGATGCGCCTCAAGAATATATTGGAAAAAGTTGTTTTAATGTTGAAAAACCCTCCAATTGATCATCTCGACATATAGATGTATGGTATGAAAGAAAAATAAGATTTTGAATCCCAGAAATAGTGCATCTTGCAATACATTATCTAAACCGTCCATTTTCAAGATTTTCATATGTTTATAGATCTACTTGATTTTAGCCATTTTTTAGTTTAAAATTTTATAATTAGATATGAATTTTCAAATAATTCTAATAATTTTTTACACCAAAATTACATGTTATGATAAAATTTGGAGGTGCGCCTTAATTGGATTGTTTAAGGTTGCAGCCTTATAGAAATCACACCCTTTTCTTATTACTTGGGAGATCAACTCGGTCAAAAATGCATCAACGTTATCGAAAATCATCTTTTTGTAATTTTACACATGTTCATCCAACATGGTCACTTATTCCATTTCAGGAATCCATGCATGCTGACTACACACATCAGGGAAAGAAGCAAAAATAATACCCATCGGTAAGTTGAACTACCTGAGACAGGAACAAGTGCAACAAATAAACATTGGAACTCTACAAAAGAAAGACATAAGAAAGTACCAAATATTACAATTTGTTTCCTACATTCAATCTAGAACGAAGGAAACATACAGAATTGTGCGAACAATCGAAGAATCTAACTTATGAGCCGCAGTATGAAGTTGTCGGAAAGAGTGATTGAACAACGACTAAGACATAAAACAAGTGTATCAAAAACCAATTTGGTTTTATGCCAAGGAGATCAACAACTGAGGCCATTTTCCTACTTAGGCAATTGATTGAGAAGTTTAAGTCGAAGGGAAAGACTTCCACATGGTCTTTCTTGATCTAGAGAAATGTTATGATAGAGTACCTCGAGATTTGATTTGGTGGGTGTTGAAAAAGGAGTCTCCAGACACTACATCGACTTGATGAGAGATATGTACGAGGGAGCGCTAACTAGCATGCCATCAACTAGTGGAAAGACAAGTGAGCTTTCAATAACAATAGATCTACATCAGGGGTCAGCATTGAGCCCATACCTCTTTGTCTTAGTTATGAACGACTTAACTAGGCACCTATAAGATGAGGTACCGTAGTATATGTTGTACGCGGATAACACAATTTTGATTGATGAGACCCGAAATGGCGTCAACACAAAGTTAGAACTTCGGAGGGATGCGTTAGAATCTAAAGGTTTTTAAATCAGCCTGACCAAGACTGAGTTTATAGAATGCAAGTTTAGTATTAATAGTAGTAGTAGAGACGAAGAAGTAGTTAAGATTGATGGCCAAGAAATACCAAAAAGAACGCACTTTCGGTATCTTGGGTCAATAATCCAAGAAAATGGAGAAATTGAAGAAGATGTCGCACATAGAATTAGAGCTGGGTGGATGAGGTGGAGATGTGAAACCAGAGTGTTATGTAATCGCCACATTTACCAATGAAGCTAAAGGAGAAGTTCTATAGGACAATTGTGAGACCAGCTTTGCTTTATGGGGTAGAAAGTTGGGAAGTCAAGAAACAACATACTCATGGAATAAATATATTGATTTGAGGATGTGGAGATGGATGATTGGCACGACAAGGAATAGAATTGGAAATGAATACACTCGAGAGAATTTAAATGTGGCACCAATAGGCGATAAGATGAGAGAAAGTACACTTAGGTGGACACGCCATAAGCAGCGCAAAGCCAATACAACAGCTGTTAGGAGGTGCAAGTTAATTCAAGTGGAAGGCTCAAAAAGGGTAAGGGGTAGACTCAAAGGGCATGGTTGGAAGTAGTGAAAAAAGATATGGAGACTTATGGCCTTACTGAGGGTACGGCCCTTGATAGAGCAAAATAGCAAACTAGGATTTGTATAGTTGATCCCAATTAGTTGGAAAAAAGCTCTGATGACGATGATGATTCACTCTAGAGCTCTATAAAAGAGTTCTGGAATCTTCATCTACCTTGTGCAGGAACTGATAGTATTATTTGGGCCTTGGCATCATCAAGCCACTTCTTAGTGTCATCCATTTTCCACACCCTCACAAACAAGAATCAGACCGAAGCCATTGACTCTGAAGCTTGAGCAATGCAAATCCCCCACAGAGTGCAAGCTTTCTATAAATATCTCTCTGGTAGAATTCTCACGATCAATCAATTTCAATGAAGAGGGTGGCAATTAGCTAATAGATGCATCTTGCGTCCAATAGAAGAGGAATCTTCATATCATCTCTTCATCCACTACAAGTTTGCCTCTTCCTTCTAGTCCAACCATCAATGAGTTTCGATGGAAAATAGCTGCCCCTAAGTCCATTACTCAGCTTTTCTAGGCATTCTTATCACCCTCTTCCTTAAAAGCCAGTCTATTCCTCTGGAGGGCCTTGGTTACGGCCACTCAATGGTTAATCTGGAAAGAGCACAACAAGAGGGTTTTTCAGGGCTTGTGCTCCAGTTTCTAGCCCTCCTAGACCACAGCAAAGCCCTCTTAATATTTTGGGCCAAAGCCAACAGGCACCTTCAAGGTTTCTCCACAACCACCATCTTAAGTAGTTGGCAGAACCTGCTAATCCTCAACCCCAGCCAACTTAAAGCTATCAACCCTAGTCCCCTCCTACAATAAGATCCCATATGTTGAACACTAACAATTGTTCCCTAGGTAACCCCAGCCTACTTGGCATTAGTGGTCTGTTGAGAGACCATAAGGGGATTACCATGCTGTTCTTCCTAGTCTATTGGCTCCACAAACTCAACGGTCAATGAATCTAGAGCCATCCTTGAAGGGTTGCTCTTGATTAATGCCTCAAAATATAGATCCAAGAACATTACCATGGAAAGAGACAACAACAGTGTGATCGTGTGGGCCTCACAAAGAATACAATGCCTTTGGCGCATATTTTCCCTTTGTGCAAGGAAATGAGGGTGGACTTCCATCATGTCCATAAAAGTGCCAACCAAGCTGTGGATGCACTGGCCAAGCAAGGTGCAGCAGCTAATGTAACCATAATTCTCTAGTCGGATTGAGCGTGGTATTTTCCTCCTCAACCAACCCTCCAAATCTCCTCTCTACTCTCACATGATCACTTTCTAGTTTTTTGTTCTGGGATCTAAGCTACCACCCCCCCCCCCCCTCCCTCGCCCCAAAGAGGAGGAA